TTTTAGGCACCTGGACAGATAATGGAGGAGCTGATATGCAGGGAGAGACAAAAATCTTTTTGCCACCCCTGAGATCATACTTCTCAAAGCCAATCTTGCTGGGATGGGTCATTACACTGTTAGCAGAGCCAAGACACCATTTATAGACCCCGAAGTTTCCAGTTCTGCCTACCCAGCTGTGTTTGGATCCCGCGGGGTTGTCGTGGGGCTGTGGGAAGGCACTGCTGGCCCTGCAGGACTCAGGAATGGAGTGATAGTGGGGGTGAAAAGGTTTGCCTTTTCTCCTTTCCCCTGCAAAGTTCGCAGCATTTGTAAGATCTTAGCCATGAAAGCTGTCCGCAACAATCGCCTGGGCTCTGCCCTCTCTTGGAGCATCCGTGCCAAAGATGCCGCCTTTGCCACGCTTGTGTCGGACAGGTGGGTTCAGCGTGGGCTTGGCTGGTGTTGGCCTTCCAGGGATTGTCTGGGAGGTTGGGAAGTTGGGAGGTTGAGGAGGTGGGGGCCTGGGACTGCTGCTCTGACCTCCTCTGGGCCGGGCCCTGCAGGTTCCTCATGGATTACTGTGACCGAGGCTGCTTTTCTGATTTGGATCTCATTGACAACCTGGGGCCAGCCATGATGCTCAGTGATCGACTGACATTCCTGGGTGAGTGTCTCTGGGTTCTGTTCCCTGGACCTTGGGCACAAGTAGACAGTTGAGGAGACTGGGTGGATGGTTCTGGACATCTCCAAGGTTTCCTTCCTTTTAAGCCCAAACTCCAAATCACATAAAACTATGTGCCAGACTCTACATAGATTTTGGTAGCATTTTATTTTTCAGTAATTTTAAACTTGAAGAAAAGTTGCAAAAATAGTATAAAAAGGAGCTCCCATGTACACTTTACCCAGATTCACCAGTTATTTCTTTTTTTTGTTGTTGTCTTTTTCCATGTCCGGCAACGGATCGTAACCCTCAGTGTCGCCCCCGTACCGGACCGGGACCGGCAACGGGATCGCAACCCTCGGCGTTGCTCCCGCGCCTCGCTCAGCCAGTGAGCGGGAACCAGTCTGTATGTGGGATCCGAACCCTCGGCGGGAGCGCCGCCGCGCTTCCCAAGCAGCGCACTGTAGCAGTGCGCCACCGGGCCGGCCCTCACCAGTTATTTCTATCTTGCCTTGTTTATCATTTTTTTCTCTCGGTCAGTCAATGGATTCTTTGGGGAACAATTTGAGAGTAAGTTGGAGATACTATTCCCCTTTCTCTGTAAAAACTTCAGTATGTATTTTCTAAGAATAGTCATCAAAACCAAGAAATCCATCATTGATACAGGACTCTCATCTAGTCCACAATCTGTATTCTGGTTATATCGTTTATCCCAGTAATGCCCTTTATCATGTCCAGGATTGCAAATTTCATTGTCGTGTCTCTTTAGTACCTCCGTCTTTGTGTTTTTTAACCTTGATATTCTTGATACAGACTCAGGCCAACTCTCTTGTAGAGTGTCTTCAATTTGTGTTTATCTGATATTTCCTCTTGATTGGATTCAGATGCTGTGCTGAGGGCAAGCATGCCACTGAGGTGCTACGTGCCCCTTGGTGGTGTTGCTTTGATCACTTGGTTGAAGTGGAGTGCACCAGGTGGCTCCTCTGTGAAGCAGTGTTTTTCCCTTTAATAATTTGTGGAGAAATTTATTTTGGTTGTTCGACAGTGTGGGGATCTGAACCCTTTATCTTGGTGTTATAATGCCGTGCTCTAACCATGTGAGCTAACCGGCCGGCCCTACCTCCCAGTTTTTGTAACCACTGGAGGTTTTCTGACTGTGTAGTTCCTATTCTGTTATAGTTGGCCTTCCACTGTAAGGAAGAGTGTTCCCTTTTTTCCTGTTTATTCTTTCATGTGTATCAGTGTGGACTCATGGACTATTTTACGTTTTATTTAATTTTTTTTTGCAGCTGGCCAGTAGAGGGATTGAATCCTTGACCTTGGTGTTGCCTACACCATACTAACCAATTGAGCTAGCCGGCCAGTCCCTAAAGCTTCTTTCTTGTTGGTTTGTTTTTTACATGGAATATTTTAGTCAATCTATTATAATCCATGACTCATGATTTGTTTTGATGCTGACATTTCCCCAGATTTGGCTCTTTGGAGCCCCTTCAAAGTCTGTTTTGAACCTCCTTGGTGTATATCACATTGGTCTGTGAGCGTGGACACAGTTCTGGAAAAATCTCCCTGCTCTGAGAGGCTGGTCTGAGGTCTCTCTTTTGCTTAGGGCCCAGATGTGTTTTGTAGCTGTTACCTGGGGGGCCATATAGGGGAGTATGGAAATGACCTAATTAGTGCTCTTTTCTCAATAGGAAAGTATCGCGAGTTTCACCGATTATATGGGGAGAAGCGTTTTGTCGATGCTGCTTCTCTTCTCTTGTCATTGATGACTTCTCAGATTGCCCCACGGTCTTTCTGGATGACACTGCTAACAGATGCCCTGCCCCTTTTGGAACAGAAACAGGTGAGGGTTGTGTCCACAGTGATTTTCTTCTCTACCTTTTGTAGTCCGACGGTGCTTAGTTCTGTAGTCGTTGCAGATGCGCATGCACGTTTCCTAAGTAGTGCTGTGTGTGCATGCACGTGTGCGTGTGCATACACATGTGTGCACTTATTTTCCCATTGCACCAGCTCAGGAAATCCAGTATTCATAGAAAAATGACTGACTTCGAAGTGAGGCAGCTGTCCCCTGGGAATACTCAGCCTAACGCCCTGACTAGACGGGCTGGAAGTGAGAATAGGAGGCTGCTCCATATTCCCAGGGATTCCTATACAAAGCACACTGTCCGCAGGCCACAGAAGGGAGAACTCCTCTGAACGTGGGCCCGTGCCCAGACTAACACATGCCTTGGCTGGGGAGCAGCTAAGCAAAGCAAGCCTCTCTCCCCTAGGTGATTTTTTCAGCAGAACAGACATACGAGCTGATGCGATGTCTGGAGGACTTGACTGCAGGAAGGCCAGTGCGTGGAGAGCCTGATGCCCAGCGACTCCAGGTCATTCTAGCTTCCAGGGTGATGGTTCCACAGTGAAGACAGGAGAAGACTCCCTCTATCTGAGGCTTCCCCTTCCTTCCAGAAACCTTGGCTCCTTATGAACTCCCGTACCTCTTATTTATTCCTTATCCTGTAATTGTGACACACCACCTTCTTTTAGGAGGAAATGGGTGCTTCTAGTGCTCTGCTCCCTATACTTTCTTCTTTCAATTGGTCACAGTGGCTCTTTGCATACTGCTCTATTCAGTAACTTCTCTTGCTAGAATTTACTACTGAATGTTAAATGCCATGTCTAGCTTTGGATTAGATAAACCCTTTGGGAGCTTTAAAGAAGGAATACTTCCTGCAGTGTCTCATGTTGGCTTTCTCTGCCTTGTAGGATGATGACATAGAGACGACCAAGGTGGAAATGCTGAGGCTTGCTCTTGCACGGAACCTTGCTCGGGCAATTATACGAGAAGGCTCATTGGAAGGTTCCTGAGGCCAGCTGAGAGCTGCCGCAGTGTGGTATCGTTGTATGGCAATGTATATAGATTTTTAAAAGAATAAATGTTCTCTTTCTCAAATACAAGGCAAATTCTTAGAGTCCAGCCAGGGAGCTTTTAATCTCTGTATACTCTGAACCTGAGGTAGTAAAAATTAAGAACAGGCTTATTTTATGTTCTTTTTGATATGGAATTGTCTTTTCCATGTCTCCTTAGAGAAGTAGCCACTCCCAGAAGTTACTAACGATGAGTGCAGTGTCTTCCTGCCTGTAATTAGAAACTCAAACAAGAGCCACTGGTGGTTTACTTGTGCTTCTGAAATCTTGCCTCACCTCAGAATCACCTGGAACACTCAATATTCTGTTAACTTTTTGGTTACCTTTCTTAAAAGCTCAGGAACCTGTACTTTAAATGAAAACCACAGGCGGTTCCAGCACAGTCTGTCCACCTCCCTCCTTTTGGAATTCATAGGTGGTGCCTCCCCCGTCGGGGAGAATGGTGTCTATATTAGGACTCCAAGTAGGGTGAAATGGTTTTATTTAACATGCAGCAAAACAAGGGCGCAGGGTTGATATATCTAGTACAGCTGTTTGCCACAAAGCAGTGACTCAGGTAGAACAAGTAACACTCATAAATAATTTTAAAGTCTAAGGTTCGTTGTAAAGATACAGTTCTACACAGTAATCCCCTAGACATTTCCAGGGCTGCAGCAGCCAGTCTCTGGAAAGATCTTGGACTTATTCCTTAAGTAGCGAAAGTGATTCATTCATTTTTGACCTGTCCTAATGAAGCAGTGAAACCTGCTTGCTAAAGACCACAAGGGGAGGAAAAGGGAGGGTAGAGTGACCTCTTGATACAGAGTAAAGAAGCCCGGCAAGGGGCAGGGAGAGATCAAGGATGTGGCTTCTGCCACCTCCTCTCAGAGATGTACGATGGCTGAGCCCATGCAGCTGAGCTCAGCCGAGCTGTGTGCTCTTCCCCAGCTTCTGCAGCAGCTGGTAGGTCTGTTTCCTGTTGCCTCTTGAGGCCTTGCATCCATGGCCCAGGCTCGCACCAGCAGGTGGAGCAGCTGGGACCAACAAGCACTGTTGAAGCAATAGGGTCTGGTGACTCCTTTCAAGCATGGCCCTGATCTCACCACCTCCAGACCCAACATCTCGCCAACAGTGCCCTGCAGCAGCTGGGGAAGCTGGTTTCTGGGCAGCACATAGGGACATAAGTCTAGTGCAACGTGCTTTATCCTGAGGCCTCCGGCATCCATCTGTAGATGCCATACCACATGCCATCTGGTGGGAGGAGGGGGAGGCCATAGCAGGAAGAGGCAGAGGGTGGTGGGAGTCTCCTCCTCATCAGACTGTAAGAGGAGGACAGCACTTTATTTCATGCCAAGCAAGAGGTAGTCAATAAGATGGCCTGTCCCCATTGCAGGAGGCAGGCTTCTCCCAGAAAGCTCTGAGTGCCTGCTTTTGGAGGAGAAACACTGGTTTTCTTTCATTTTCTTTCATTTTCTTTCCCATCCCTAGTTCAAGTTGTCATGAGACCACATTCTGTTTCTACTAGGATGAGTCCCATGTCCTGCTATGTCCATAGGACACAGCCTGCCATCCACAGGGACAAGTGCACAACTCATCATTCAGTGGTCATTCCAGGATGCGGCTGCCCACAGAAGGCAGGGTTGGCGAATCTGCAGATAACAACTGGGCCACTGGGTTTGCCCCCATCACTGGAGGTGGCAGCAGGAACCTGCCAGCAGGGGAAGCACAGAGGCCTCCAAGCCGTGCCGTGGGTGGATGTGAGGACTTGGTCCTTGAGGGGGCAGATAATCTCTCTTTAGAGACCACCCCCCTGGGGCATCAGGGAATGCCATTAAGGAAAGGGAAAAACCTACCCCAAGCCTTGGGCCCGAGTTCCCAGAACAGTAGTGAAGTCAGGGGCCACTCCTCCCCACCCTGACGGTGTATGGCCACTTCAAGTCACACAGGTAGATAAAAACAGGTCCTTTTAGGGGTTGAAGGAGATTATCTCACAGCAGCAGCTTGGCTCCCAGCAGAAATGCCCAGGGCCCCTGTTCCACATCAGGACGTGGAGCGCTGACCGGAACTCCCTCTCTCGGGGCTTCAAAATGGAGATCACAGCGTCCTTTGAGGTCATAGGTTCCCCCACTGCTCCACAGGAGGGAACTGGTCCACCTCGCCCACCTCTGTGCTCAGCTGCTCCCCCAGGGTGAAGGTCAGCCTATACCGAAGCCGCACCTTCTCCTGTGACAGAGGACAGCAGGTGAGATCTAGCCCAGGTTGGCCCCCTCAATGGGATGTCCTCTGCTACCCTCTCATAGCCCTCTCTGTGTTAGAGAGCTGGTTGGTCCCTGTTCCCCCACCCATGTTCAGCCACTAGACAGCAGAGACATGTATTAATGCTGCAGGTCATGGCACTTCTGATTGGGGGGCTGTTCCTAAGGACCTAATTGGTAGTGGCTGGGCCCCTGGGTTCTACCCTGCTCACCTTCAGTGGATTGGCCAGCAGCATGACCTGAGTGATGGCTGCAGGTGGCTGGATGGGGCTGAATGGAGAGAGATCTGTCCCAGAGGGTGGCTGCAATTTCACTTTCATTGACTAAAGGTAAGAGAGGAGAAGCTCCTTTGAAGAGAGATGGCAAATGCCCCTGAGATGGAGCTTGGTCTGGTCCCAGTGGACACATACATGCTGCCATCTGCTGGCCACAGAGGCCCCCACCCAGTGGGCTCAAGAGAAAGGAAATGGCAGCCCTAGAGGCCCTGGGGGGTGGGGTGGTGGTAGTGGTGGTAGTACCTTGGGCACTGCGGCCTGCAGCACAATGCTCTTGACAGGCAGGGGGGCCGTATTGAGCATGGACACGACGACCACCAGCACATCAGGCCGTCCTGGTGGACACTCCTTGGCAAAGTGGAAGAGGACGCGGAAGCCGTGTCTATCATAGGCTGTCACAGGGAGGGCACTGCCTGCAAGGAGGAGAGGCATGTGAGCATGGGGGAGAGAGCCAAACACACTCCACAAAGCCCCGGTGGTGCCTGCTGCAGCTGTGTGTGGCCCTGGCTCCCTAAGGAGTCTGGGAAAGGCTCTCTGTCAGGAGGAGCCTAAGGTCACACTGCTGTGAAGGCCAGGACAGCAGCCAAGCGCCTGCTTGGCTCTAAGGGATGCCTGCAAGGAGCACCTACATCCATCCATTGTACACCCTACAATAAGGTCTCCACCTCCCTTCCCCCCTCAAGCCTCCAGCACCTACTAGGCTTGATTGATTCCAGGGGCACGTGGACACTGGCCAGGGAGAGCTCGGGCCCCTTCATGGGGCTGCCCTGGGACTGGAAGGCCGGTGGCTGGAAGAGAGGGCTGCTGGGCCCCGTGGAGAAGGGCAGGAGAGGCCTGGACGGGATGGTGGTGGTGGGGATCAGAGGGGGGGCAGTAGCCCCAGGGGAGAAGTGGGAGGAGGCAGGTTTCACCAAGCCCGAGGTCCTGGCAGGCAAGGAAGGAGGACAGAAGGCAAGTCAGAAACAGACCGGAGCTGCTGGGCCCACCCCTCAGCAAGGCCCCAGGCCAGAGATGGCTCCCAGTCACCCCCCACCCCCAGCTTCCAGCCAGAATGATGGGACCAAAAGGACCTTCGAAGGCCATCACTGGTTCCACCACACCCAGGCCCAACCCTCAGCAACCCCACTTTTCCCACTCATTACACTTTGGCCTCCTCCAGAAGCTGATCGAGGGCATCCAGATGGTGCAAGGTGCTGCCACCCAATGCTGAGCCATGGTACCCAGGGGCTGCAGGCCCAGCTTCTGGGGCCACAGCTGAGGCCAGTCCTGTTGAGAACGATAAGGAGCCCACACAAGGGGCAGGAATGCTGGCAGGGACCACAGAAGCTGGAAAGGGAGGCGGCAGGGGAGCTTGGGAGTTGCTCGAGGTGGGGGCTGAGGAGCAGCTGGCAGCAGTCCCCGGCTTGGGGAAGAAGTCCAGGTCGGCCTGTTCACTCTACGGGCAATGGAAAAGGGCAGGTGAGCGAAGGGTGGGAGGGGTCGCAGCTCTCCCCCTGCTGGCCCTCTTCCACCAGGGGCAGTGGAGATGTGCCCTGTTGCTGGCACCAGCTGCACCTGCTGCCCCCCAAGGCCAGGGCCAGGCCCACGGAGGCACCCAGTGTTCCCAGCCGCACTGGCAGTGCTCTGGAGGGTAAGGACAGCCCAGGCTCCCGCAAACCGCAGATGAGACTAGTTCAGTGAAGACGCTGGAGCCCTCAGTGGCATCACCATCACTGTGACCTACCTGGAACAGGTGCCACTGGCTATTGGCAGCTGAATCTTTGGGAAGAGCACTAGGGGCTGGGTCAGTGAGGCCTGAGAACACAGAAGAAAACTCAATAAGAGGCTCTGGGCTTGGGCAGCCCCACCTGGGGAAGTGTCTCTTGACAAGCAGTGTCTCAGTGGGTGAAGGGGCAGGGAGGTGTTCTCCAGGCAGCCTCCAGAGAGAAATGGATCCCCTCCAGTACTTATTTGCAGAGGCGAACAGAGCAAGACTGAGTCCCCCTTGTCCACCCTGGAGTCCATCACCAAGACTACCCCAGTGACCTGGAGGGACAATGAACTTGACTGACTCTCCCTACAATTGAGGCCTCTTTGCCCACACTTAATAAGCACACCAAGCACCCCTGGGGCCTCCTGATTCCACATGGCCTTCCTTCAAGGCCCCACCGGAGAAGCCCCTTACGGCCTCCCTCTAGGACATACCCAAGCAGAGCAGCTCCTCGTCCAGCAAGGAGAGAGTGTTGCTTGTGCAGTTGGGCCCTGGGGGGGCCTCGGCCTGGCTGGATGAGCAGCTGCGTGGAGGGCCAGAGGTGTGGGGGGGTGGGGGGAGGACAGGGATGCCTGAGGAGGGTGGGGCAGATGCTGGCACCAACACTGGGGACGAACTGTTGGGTGCATCCAACTCAGCAAGGTCAATGAGAGCGCCTGGGTTACTGGAGAGGTGGTTTCCTGGATGGGTCAACAGGAGAATGGGAATAATTAGGGTCATTCTAGTGGCTATGCAGCAGGAGGCAGGACCCTGGGCACAGTGACTAACACACCAGCCTCTGGCTTAATCCAATGGCATTTCTGCCAGGGGACACTGAAAAGCAATCTGGAGAAGGCAGGTAGGGAAATCCCCATCCACATCTCCTGGCCTCGGGGAAGGTGGAGGCCCACTTGGAATGGTTCAGAATCCCCCAGGCCTTGTGGGATGCCATGCTGGTCAACCTGTACCTGGCACGACCACTGTGACCCATGGCTTTGTGGTGGGGAATTGGGGCTGGACTGGAGGTATCCAGAATGGGAAACCAGAACATCTTACCTTCAGAGTCAGGCATGGGTGAGGTGGCCACCTCACCATTGACGACCTGCCCTTCAATAATGGTTTTATAAGAGTTGATGACCCGGGAGAGGTTGTCACTGGCCTGTAGGATGTCCCCTACGGTAGAAAAGAGACTCTTCACTCCTGCCTATGACAACTCCCACACACCTGCCCAATTTCCTGGCTCATCTTTGCCAGCCACTCTTCCCTTTTAACTTACCCAAACTGTTGTCATTGTCCTCTGTCTCACTGGCCAGTTTAAATAACGTCCGCCTCTTATTCTCACACCGATCAAAGAGCTCCTGAAAGAGAGCGGACATAAAAAGCACAACTACAATGGCTCCTAGAGATCATGAGTCAGCGTTCACACCCAGAAGATGACAGAGCTCCCCTCAGTAGCACGATCAGTAACTGGCAGAGCACAGTCAGAGCTCACGACTTCCTGCCGCCGGCCTCCACCACACCACATCCTCAAAGATGTTTGTGAAGACAGTAAGTAGCTAGGATGGATGAAGGGAGGTAAGTCCCTTCCTGCATATGCCTCAGAATTCAAAATATCGACTGGACCACGGCCTGGGCCACATCAGCATCAAGGTCACAGGGAAGCCTGTTTGGATGTCCCTGAGGCAGTAAGGAAAGGCGGAGACCCAGGCTGAGCACCAAAGGCACAGTCCCTGGAGTCAAAGAAATGGGTTTACATCCAGCGCTTCCATCCTGGGCAAGTTCGCCAATCTCGTGTGTAAAGTAGGAGCACCACCCTTTCTGTACCAGGCTGCTGTGCACGGGAATAAGTCTGTGAACCCCAAGTACGTGGCCCAGTGCCTTGAGCACTGCGGGTAGTCAGCAGATGCAGTGCCGCTCCTGCAGAGCAGAGCAGCGCGGGCCAGCTCTCTAAAGGCAGCCTACCTTCATGAGCTCTCGGTCCCCCTCCGAGGAGTCCTCCTGGCTGTAGTGCAGCAGCATCTCGTTGAGCAGTTTCACGTTGTTGTTAACCTCCTCTAAAGTGTGCAGACGCTTGGTCACTTTCTGGATCCGCGCCTCATCCTGGCCCATCAGAGAAGATCAAGGAAAGAGTGAGCTCAACAAGACTGTTCTCCTGCTTCCACCAGGTGAGGATCACACCTTTTCCCGCAAAACCAGAGCAGAGGCTGAGCCCGCGGAGGCTTCTTTCAGTGCATGGTTCCTGGGAACCACAGGCTGGGACCCAATCTAAAGTTCTTCTTTCACAGTGACATTCCCCCACCCCAGCTGAGGACCCACCCACTCTCCCTCCTATCCTATTCTCTCCAGGAAGCCTCAGTATCTTCCTTCCTTTCTCAGCCTCTCCAGGTGAGGGCTGGCAACGGGCAGAAGAAAACAGGCCTAACACCCAGGGCAAAAGAGACTTCTGCTTTGTGGTCCTGGCCTCCCCCGCATGCCCGAGGACCAGGGTCCACTCACTTCCTTCACCATGGACTTGATGAGCTTGTTGGCCTCTTGCAGGTCATCTGGGTTTTTGCTTTTCAGCAGCTTGGCTAAAAGCTGGAAGAGAGTATTGAAGGTGAAGGGAAGGGTAACACCCCCAACCCCACCTGGGGAGACCAGAGAAACTGGAACAAAACCACACTTGCCCCCACTGCTGCCACCTCTCACCCAAGGAAATCTCAGGCCCAGGATGTTTTTTACCTTGGATTTCTCCTCATCATCAAAAACGGGGTTTTTGGGACGAGGTGGTGGAGAGGGGATCAGCGTTGGGTCCACAGGGATCAGCGGGTCAGACTGCACTATGCCTGAAAGGGACAAAAGGGGCAGAGAGTATGCTTAGGCGCAGCGTCCTCATCACCGCACACATCCTTCTGATCAAGGCCTGCAAGTGGAGTATGGCACTGGGCAGACTGCTACACGTTGTTCCATTGCAACCCCAGCTGGGCCGTGCTCTGGGGACAAGTACCACTCTCCTCCTTGCCTTGGCCAGCCTTGCAGGGCTGCCAGGAGGCTGAGGGAAGTCGATACGTACCCTGCCTCTTCAACATATGGTAGGCATCTTTGATCTTTGCTTCTTCCGGCAGGGCCATCGTCCAGCTATAAAGCAGCTCGATAACCTTGGTCTTCACTTTTTCAGACACCCTGTCCCCGAAGTACTGAGGGGCAAAAGGAAATGGGAGAACCTAGTGACTGCAGTTTGGAGGCAGGGAACATGTGAGGCTCTCTTTACAGCAGTGACATGGGTGCTCACTGGTTATGGTCCTCCAGCCTACGCAGGGCCAGCGTGGGGTGAGGTGTATGTGAGAAGGAGTCGGGGAGGGAAGGGCCTGCCTTGTGGCATGGCTGCGGCTCTCTGGGTACAGTCTGTGGTTAGGCAGGGGCCAGGAGCTCCTCACTGCATTTCCATGTGCAAGCTGCCCAGAAACACAACTGCATTTTGTCTTGAAGGAGTTCATGAGGTCTCCAGCATGAAAAATTGTTCCCTCTGCTCTAAGTGGGTACCCAGAGCCACGTAGCACTAGCATGCAACAGAACCTGGCCAGCTGAGCAACTAAGTAATGAGGGAGGCTGGCTCCCTGTACCCACATAAGACCGGCCCAAACGCCCACACCTGCTGGGTGCTAGGAGCCAACTCCTGAGCTACACGGGCCCTCTACCCAGGCATGCCCATGGCCACTGCTGCATTGCCTGTCACAATGAGTCAGGGAGCCCCTCAGGGAAGGCAGTCTGTCCCTGTGGCCTGTTCGGTCAGCCCATTAGCTCCAGGGCCTAGCTCTCTAAGGACAGGACACGGAGAATCTCAGCTTCACGGAGATGTTGGTTGGGCAGTGAAGGCCAGTAAGATGGGAGATGGGAAGGAACATAAAAGTCCCAAGAAGTGAGAAAACTGCTGCTGACTGACCTTTGGAGAGACGACTTTGATTAACTCATTCAAAAAACGGAACTTCCCTACTTCGTTATGAAATCTCCTCCCACAGTTCTTCATACATGCTTCCAGCACCTGTAGCCACACAGAGGAGGGGCACTCAGGGAGGGCAGGCTCTGGGCTGGGCCTGGTACCACAAAACCTTGGTCCCAGACAGTGCAGATAATCGTTCCCAGATAAAGGAACTCGCCACAAAAAGTGGTGTGCACTGCCCCATGGATAAGGTTAAGCAACAGGATTACTCACACCCCACGCCCCTCAAAGTGCAAACCTCTGCTGGGGAAGCTACGCAGGGACTAATTAAAAAACACTGAGACCCAGAACCCAAGACAGCTTGGATGCCAGACCAGACAGGTACCTTCCTTAAAGTTTCTGTCCTTGGATTTTACAGACGAGGAAACCGAGGCCCAGGAATATAAAGTTTCTTTGACTTGGGGCCCAGGGGTCTTTCCACAGCTGACCAACTTTTGGAGGGTGAGCGTAGTAGGGGGAGATAATGTTTAAGTCCTGTTATCTTCAATTTAGATTACACGACATTTTCCCTCCCCTGACCCACACTGAGTTCTCTAATACACACTTTCCTGTGCCACCTGTGGCCCCAGGCACCTGCACAGTCTATACTGAGCAGTACACCACACCAGAGCACTCTTTCTGGGCTTCTAGTTTTTTAAAACAGGATTTCTCAACTGCTGACATTTGGGGCTATTCTTTGATGTGAGGGGCTGTCCTGTGTATTCTTGGCTGTTTAGCAGCATCCCTGGCCACTACCCGCCTCTACCCGCTAGATGCAAGTAGCACCCCACCTCCTGATGTGTGACAACTAAAGATGTCTCCAGACACTGCCAAATGTCCCCTGGGGGGTAAAATCCCCCCTGTTGAAAATCGCTGTTTTAATAAAGTCTTAGCTGTACAGCGAGCATGACGGAGGAGGGCACATCAACCATCTAAGCACCATTTCTTCTGTCTTTCCAGGACCTGAATGAAGTCGGGGGAGAACTCTGGATTCCTCTGAACTTGGCTGTTCTCTGCTTTAGAGGAGAGCCTGGAGGCACGCTAGTGCTGCCCACCACTCCACGTCTTGAATTCCTTCAGTCTGAACACACAGTAAGATCTGCCCCTGTGGCCTCGCCCTGTAGCTACAGCATGAACTGGACTGCATCTGGACTCCCTCCTTTAAGACCTCTGCCTCTCACACTAACCATGTGGCCATGCTGGCAGTGATGAGGCTTCAGTCTTCTCTGGAGCCTCAGTGCTGGCACAGTGGCACCCACATTTGTAGGATAACTGACAGCATGCCCTAGATATACCTAGATTGTATCAAGGCTTTTGGCCATGAGCCCTGAGAACCACCAAGAACCTAATAGGTGCCTGAGGAAAGGCCCAAGCAGGTGAAGACCCACTGCTTTCATCTCCAGAGAGTGAAGAACCTACCGTCAGGGCCTGGACCGCCTCCCATTCCTGCGGAGACTGGATCTTGTGGGCCAGCAGTCGGACTGCGATCTGTGGCCTAGGGAACAGGTAGACCACACTTTCAGTACTCTGAAACTGGGGCCATTGGGCTAGCCTTTCTTGGCCACAGTTTTTAGCTTTTCTAGCCAACTCTCTCTCACCTGCCCTTAACAGCATTGAGACTCACCCTTCAAGCTCTTTGTTGATCTGATCACAGAAGCCAATTATGTATTCCCAGTCCTCCTGGCGGTTAGAAGGATTGGTGGCTTTATCTTGTGACAGAACAAAGAGGACAGTTATTATGAGGAGGAGGGAGGACACAACGGAGGGTCTTCTTTACAATGTTTAGCCATTAAAAGTCTGCTTCCAAATTTCTTTTCTTTTTTTTTTTCCCCAAAAGATGACCGGTAAGGGGATCTTAACACTTGACTTGGTGTTGTCAGCACCACGCTCTCCCAAGTGAGTGAACCCGCCATCCCTATATAGGATCCAAACCCTTGGCCTTGGTGTTATCAGCACCACAGTCTCCCGAATGAGCCACAGGCCGGCCCTCCAAATTTATATTCTAATAGAAAAGCCTCGATAGTTCAATCAGGCAGCAGTCAAATACAAGTACTACTTTCTGTCCAGTCACAAATGAAAGAGAAAACAAATCCTCGGCCTTATGGAGCTTCGAGTAGATCAGGATCCAAAGGCTAAACACAAACAAACACAAATGACAAAAATGTTCATAAATAACTGTGTAAATATGCAAATATAACAAACATACATAACTCCAGCTATATAAAAATGAGCTAAGTGTTAAGCAAGTAGGGATGATCAAGAAGTGTTTCTTTTCTTTTCTTTTTTTTTTTTGTCCTTTTTGAGACCGGCCGCACCACGCTCAGCCAGTGAGTGCTGTGAGCGCACCGGTCATCCCTATATAGGATCCGAACCCGCGGCGGGAGCACTTCTGCGCTCCCAGTGCCGCACTCTCCCGAGTGCGCCACGGGCTCGGCCCAAGAAGTGTTTCTTGGAGAAACTAAAGTCAGGTTGAACTAGTTAAAAAATATACATACTTAGAAAATATGAGTATCGTCTACGCACCCTTCAGATATTTTTCGAGACCTACACTTCCTTCATGCTTTGTTTTTGATATTGCACATAAGGCTCATCACTGTCAAGCCAGCAACATTTAATGAGCCCCTACTAAGCTCTGATCATTGTGCAGTCTATCCCTGGAATTCCAAAAACAGAATCTCAGTTTGAGTATTCAGCACCCTCAAGTTTAAATCGTCTTCCACGATCAAGCACAAAGACAAGGTTGGAGAGTTCTCAGAGGGTCATTGAGGATTTAAAATCCAGGTGCTAAAGAAGCGTCCCAGGCTCCAGAACTGGGGCGGTGTCGGGACAGGGCTTCAGCCACAACCTCCTGATATCTGCGCCCCACCCAACACGACCAAGCCACTGCTGCAAGCCCTCTGGTCTCCCCTGCAGGAATGAGGGGGGTGCCACAGGCCTCAACCCCTCACCCCCCTCCTTCCTCCTCCCACCCTATTTCCTTCCCCTGTCCTCTTTCCCCCTCCCCCTCGACTGCTCCGCAACATCACAGAATGTAAAAAAATAATATTAATAAACTTAAAAATAAAATTAAATCCAGGCGCTAAATGCAAATTTCTCTGATATCTTGTTTGGGCCTTCCTCTCTGTCACCCCCAGAACCCGTGCTCAGAGGATGGCCCAGCTGAGGGTGGTTAAATGGTTTCCTATCTCTGGTTCAGATATGGAGTCTGCCTCTTCCAGAGGGCATTTGCAAGCTGTTTGCTAAATTTAGGACTTAAGATTGAGAAAACAAATAGAAGGTGAAGACGCACATCCTTTAAAGCACCCATGTTCCTTCTGCAGATTTCCATAGGGCCAAAAGCAGAGCGACAGAGCCCCTCATGAGAAAGGAGCTGTCAGAAGTTCCTGAGTTCTGATTTCTCGTGACTGTGGGTGTTTTCTTAACTAAAAATCACTAGCTGGATGACCAAATCCTATCAGGGACTCCAGTCCTTCCAGCAGGAACAGGGATCTGGGGCTCTTAGCAGATGCCTCCTGGAGGCAGAGGGAACACCCGCAGGGCCCAGTCCATACTGCTTCCCAAGTCAGGGCTGGGCCTGCTTGGCAGTGTTTCTGCTCTGGGTGCAAGGGGAAGATTGAGATGGTTTAGGTTTGTGTTTAGAGAAAAAGAAGGTATCTGTCCTCAATCTAGAAAGAGAATTAGCAGGCCCTTCAAAATGTTAAGCTTGAAGGGAAAAGGGAGATTAATTTAATCAAGGGTGGTGGCCACTTAGAAAGAAATGCCCGGCAATCCTGCATTCATTGCCTCAGTGACCTACTAGTGATCACCTTCCAGGGAAAACAGGAGTCTCCTACCAGGTGGCTGAAATCTTCTCAGGCGTTAGTGTAGCTTTGTTACTAATCCCTATCATTTGAGATGCTTAAAGTTCTCACATGATATCAAGAAGCTGTAGGATACAAAAATAAGATGGTCTGGGGAGAGCCATACCCACCCCCAATGCTATTATCATTTTGAGAACAGTCGCATACCTCGTAGTAGAAAAAAAAAATTAGCTAGCTCACTTCCAGTGCTCACAACAGCAAAAGTATCTGCCAAATACAGAGTAGAATGTGCCCACCCTCCTCCACCCCAAACATAAGCCAAAGGTATCAACCAAATATTTTCTACCTGAGCCTCTTATACTTCTTAAGTATTTCTGCTTCCGAGAACACTCCACCCACTTTTCACTTGTGTGAACTTCTCCAGAATCCCACTTTCTTTCACCTTGATCAACCTTTCTACAGCAAATCTGCAGAGAGCTCTCTGCCTACATGCGGGCACAAAAAGCCCTGGTTTTAGCAATGGTCAGTCCCACTTCGGAGTATCTACTACAGCTCTCCAGCTAGCTCAGAAGGCAGACCTCAATCACCCACAGGAACTGAAAGAAACTTCTAGGGACAATTCTGGATGACTCTCTCCATCGGCCCACTGCCTCTCCCAGCAGGTGCACACACACAACCTTCCACCCACTTGACCTTCTCCTTCGTCTGGCACCAGAGGTGACACCAGAGCCTCCCCTGCAGACCGTGCCTTCTAGACTGCCCCTCTGGGCTCTGCTCGGACTCACAGTTTCTATTTTGGGGTCTCTATTATAAGCCTCATTCTCTTCTGTTTCTGTGCCTCTAGATTTCCTGTTCTCATTTTTCCTGTTCTCATTCCATTGCTAGTCCAGACTCTTGTGGGAACTTCAAATGTAATTTAGGGTAGGAAACAGCAGCACTGGCTGGCTACCCCATCCCAACATGGCTTGAACATTCCAGAGAAGGCAAGTTCTATGTGGCAAATGACTTAGAAATAAACAGAGACAAGAACATGGGCTGGAAAGGGAATCAAGAGTCAACTTTCAATGCTAAGTTTTTGAACCTTCAATGCTAGGGTTTTGAATCAAAGTTAGTCAACCACCAAGTCTTTGTTAAGTACCCACAGAAAATGAAGTAACAGCATGCTAGATCCTGGATGGACTACAGAAAAAGTACAAGATCAGTAGATCAAGATCCTATCAGTGGGACAGGATCCTATCAAGATCCTATCACTGCGAGGTTGTGCTCTCCTGGTGTTACGGAATGGACTTTGACAGAGAAGCGGTCGGCAATCAGAGGGTTGGAGAGTCAGGTATTGTATTACACTGGTGGGCCCAGACAAGCTAGCGCTTCAAAATCTGAGCCCCCAGTTTAACTTTTACAAGGCTTTTATAGGCAGACTCTTCCAGGTTTTAGGTTTCAGTTTCACAGCACTCACGAGGCTAATACAGCAGTAACTTTCGTTTCTCAGCATTTATAGCTATTGAGATAAGCAAGCACAGTTTACAGAAGCGGGAGTGCAGAGCAGGTGATTATCAGTAAAGCTGATACAATAAGCAGGTTCTGTTCTAAAGGCAAAACAAGCTACTGAAAGAATTAATTTTGAATTTTTCCAACATTTCCCCCCTTTGATGCTCTCTAAACATTGGAGTGAGCATCATCTTATTCGACATCACTTTTGGGGTCTAAGAGTAGTTTGAGGGAGGTGTAGTCCATTAGGGCTAGCAGATGACTGGCTGTTTTTTCTCAACCAAAGTTTCTGTGGTGGCACAGATGCTATGCATCAACAAAGGAAGTAGGCAGATACTTAACATGAACAAGACTATTAATGGCATCTGTGGAGACTCTCCTCAGATTTCCAGATAGTCAGGGTCAAGAACAATAGCAACTTAAAATCCATGCTTTGTGGGAGAAGGGAAGTATAGCCTGTCTGGGGACTCCTGGGCATACTAACAAGGATGATAATATGATTTACACAATGATAAGCAAGGCAAAGAAAAATATCATTAATCCTAAAATGATATCTAACAGTCTTGACAGGCAGATGGAGCAAAGAAAGGGTTAATTTAAAAGGCACGATTGCCACCATGAAATGCCTAAGAAACACCCTGTTGACAGGAAGTAAAGGAATGCTAGTAATAGCTTTTCTATTCTATTCCATCTTCTGGGCCAACTGATATCAGTTCTACGGCAAAAAGTAAGGCAAGCAATATAACAAAAACTAAAGGCAAGGGGTGACATGTGCTTATCATTTTATTAAAAGAAATCAGTGTAGGGCCAGCCCGTGGCTCACTCGGTAGAATGCGGTGCTGATAACACCAAGGCCACGGGTTCGGATCCTATATAGGGATGGCCGGTTTGCTCACTGGCTGAGCGTGGTGCTGACAACACCAAGCCAAGGGTTGACATCCCCTTACCGGTCATCTTTAAAAAAAAAAAAAAAGAAAGAAATCAGTGTATTTGTTATGTCCCTTGGTGGCAAAATCCTCAGGCTTCAGCTGTGCACAGGCTGGTTAGCTTCTGGTGTGACCAGAACAGGGTGGTGATGATTGGCAGGGAGTCTCTGGACGGGACCTTGAGCAGGTCAGAGGGGTCAGCCTTCACAGACCACGAGGTGGCTTCTTCAGGGGAAGTGGCCTGCTTCACCTGTGCATGATGGATCCAGGGGATTAAACCTGCAACTTCAACTGCAGTAGGGGTGGTTAGTACAACTACGTGTGGCTCTGTCATACACCAGACCCGTAACAAGCTAAGGGAAGCATATCTATCCAGGGTAGCCCTATCTCTTGGCAAAGCCTGTCTAACGTAGTCTTTAGGGTCCAGTTCATGTGTTCTACTTTTCCTGAGCTCTGTGGCCGGTGTGCTATGTGGAGCTTCCACAGTATTCCCAG